GGACAGCCTCCCCTCGGCCGTGCCCTCAACTGCACCTCTCTTTGATCCCGGGGTCTCGGCCTGGCCTCTGCCCTGTTGGGGCAAGTGTTACAAAGCTCTTTGAGCTCTGCTGATAGCTGCATCTAGGCACATCCCACTGGCTAGCAAGCCTCCTGCCCAAAGGCCCTCAGCTTTCTCACTCTGTGGGCCACCACGCCTGTCACTCTGTCTCGTGCCTCTTGGCTCCACCACTGCTGCTGTCTCTCTGCCAGTTGTCTCTACTGTCTCTCTGCTAACAATGTCCAGAGCAGGGACCTCAGGTCCAAGCTGTGCTCCATTCTACTTCCAGCTCTTCTCTTGATGACTGTGAGATTCCCCCCCTTCTGCCTCTAGAAGGCTCATTTTAAGCCTAGCAGAATGACAAAACTGACCAATCCCCATATTAGGGTTCCATACACATTATTTTTATAGTCCCACCCCCAAAAGGATGTCACGTACCTTATTTACATACTAGCAAGCTATCCAACCCCACTGGTGGGCTACCAACACCTTACATTTGCATAATTCCACTCAGCAGTCTGGTGGGAGTCACAGAGACCAGGGCTAGAAGAGCCAGATCAAGAAATTCACTGCATCGCAACCACAAATAAAAATTAACTCCAAATAGATCATAGACCTTTAATGTAAAACCTACGGTAAAGTTTATAGAGGTTTTTTTTTTTTTAAAGTGGAAAATCTTTGGAACTTTGGGTTAGGCAAAAATTTATTTGATGTCACATCAAATGCATGAGCTCTTAAAAAAATTGATAAATTAGACTTCATCAAAATTTAGAATACATGCTTGTCCAAAAACAAGAAAACAGACTGGAAGAAAATATTTACAAACTACACATCTGAAAGAGGACTTTGTATCTAGAATATAGAAAGAGCTCTTAAAACTCCTTAAGAAAACAACCATCCCCACCAGGCACAAAAGATCTGAAGAGACACGTCACTAAAGAAGATGTACCAATGGCATAGAAGCATATAAAATAAGCTCAGTTATGATTCATTATTGGAGAAATACAAAAAAGGCAAATTAAAGCCACAAGAAAACACGACTTCATACCTATTAGAATACGTAAAATTAAACAGACTGGCCATCCAATGTTGGCAAGAACATGGAGTAACTGGAATTCTCACACACTGCAAATGGGTATGTAAAATAGGATACACACTAGAAAGACGTTTGCAGTTTCTTAAAAAGCTAAATATACATCTACCACATGACCCAGGCATCTCACTCACAGATATTTAATGGAAGCCTATGTACAAAGACTTGCACTCAAATGTTCACAGCAGCTATAGTTGCAATAGCCAAAAAACAGGAAACAACCCACATGTCTGCCAACAGGTGAATAGATAAACAAATTGTGGTATTTTTTGTTTGAACAATGTATTTGTCATACAATAAAATGTCACTCAATGAAAAAAATGAGTAAAACATGCAACGACATGGAAGAATCTCAAAATAACTATGCTGAATAAGAAAAAAAAAAAAAAGACCAAAAAAGAATGAACACTGGATGGTTCTATTTACATAACATTCTAGAAAAAGTAAGGGGCAGTGACAGGAAACAGAACTGTGGTTCCCTGGGGATAAGGAAGGCCACAGGAAGGGCTGGGAGAAGGAAAATACGAGGAAATTTTTGGAGGTAATGGATGTTTAGTATCACAATTGTGGTGTAGTTTCCTGGGTGTACACATGTATCAAAACCTATAAAACGATACAAGGTTGTGCAACTTATTACATGTCAATTACCTCTCAATAAATTTCTTAAAAAAAAAAAAAAAAACACTATCCTTCCAACAAGCACACAAAAAGATGCTCAACATCATTAAGTGATTGTTGTTGTTAGGCGCCATCGAGTCAGCTCTGACTCATAGCGACCCCATGCACAACAGAACGAAACACTGCCCGGTCCTGTGCCAGCCTCGCAATCCCTGCTATACCTGAGCCCATCGTTGCAGCCACTGTGTCAACCCATCTCGCTGAGGGCATCCCCATTAGAATAGCAATGACAAAAAATGAAAACACAGGTGTTGGCAAGGTTGTAGAGACACTGGAACCCTCATCTATTACTGCAGGGAACGTAAAATGGTGCAGCACTGTGGAAAAACCAATGTGGCAGTTTCTCAAAAACTTAAACATACAATTACCACATGACCCAGCTATCCCGATCCTAGGTGTGTACCCTGAAGAAATGAAAGCACAAATGTAAACAAACTTGTGCGCCAACGTTCCACCCAGTACTTCTCCCAACAGCCAAAAGGCAGGAATAAGCAAGTGTCCCCCAACAGATGAATGACAAACAAAACGTGCTGCGTGCACGCAAGGGGTACCACGCAGCCACAAGGAAAATGAAGTCCTGATGCCACAGGACGAATGGACCTCGAAAACATGCTGGAACAAATCAGTCACAAAAGGACAGGTCTGTGCGACCTCACTTGTACAAAATAAACAAATACACAGAAACCAAGATTATTAGTGGTTACCTGAGATGGAAGGAAACAGCTCTGGTAGCGCAGTGGTAAGGCATTTGGCTACTAACCAAAAGTGGTGTGAACCCACCAGCCTCTCCATGAGAGAAAATGAGGCAGCCTGCTTCCGTAAAGATTTGCAGCCTTAGAAATCCAATGGGGATTGCTACAAGTCAGAACTGACTCGATGGCTTTGAGTCTGGCTTTGGTTTTGGGGTGGAAGGGAGGAGGAAGGGGGAGTTTTTCTTAGGGAGCACTGGGTTTATGTTAATGGTGGTGGACTAATTGGAGAAGGATAGCAATAATGGTCTCACAACCTGAGGAATGGAATCAATGTCACCGCCTTGTACTTGTAGAAATTGATGAGATGGGTTCTGTTCTGTTATGGGTATTTTCAACAAAACAAACAAAAACCACCTTACCAAAGAACAACTTGCCTAGCAAATACAGGTTATAGGACGCTTAAGGTCCTTTCAGGTCAAAACAGCTGCAGTCTAGCTGGCACACAAGGGGTTACCAAAAGTACAGTCTGTACTGATCAGTAAATGTCCCATAACGTCACTTTTAAAAAGTGAAGAATTATACAGAAGAGAAACGTGATGTAGAGAAAAAACACAGTGCCTGAGATGGAACTTTCATTAGTGGCAACTACCTCTATAGATCTCTGATGGATCAAACAGTATCTAAACTGTGGCTATTTGCTCTCATAAACTAAAAAGAACCTGGTTAGTAGCAATGATGTCAGATTTATCTCCAAGTAAGTTCCTCTGTTTAAAAGGCAGAATAGAGGAGTTTATAGTTCAATTACATAAATATCAATTTTTCTTCCCAATGACTCTGAGAGCATTAATACCATTTTTTAAGGTCAGATTCAGCAACAGTACCGTTGCCTACATTCTAATCAAACACAGACAGAATAGAAAGATCTGAAATGAGGGCCCACGCCAAAACCACCACGTTCTCTGTGGTGCAAGGCAGGAGGAACAACGGGAAGCCATGTGGAAATGCCCCACTCTCCCACCCACAGCTTGCTCCTGCTACTTCACCCTACCTAGCTAGGACTGCAGCAGACATAGGTGCAGGACCAGGTTTGAAAGACTCTCAGATGCTTCGCCGTTAGTTGCTTCTGCCTAGCACAGGGCTGTGTGAGTTTGCTGAACTGAATGGAAGAGACGCAAACAGGACTGGGGAGGCATTTGTGCAGGAGATCCAGAGTCTAATTCTGGCTCGATTAGGCATCAGCCTGTGTGACAATGGTTCAGCCACTTTATTATCTCATCCAAAAACCAAACTCCCCACCACTGAGTTGATTCTGACTCATAGCAACCCCCTTTGGGCTTCCAAGGCGGTACATCTTTATAGAAGTAGATTGTCCAGTCTTCCTTCCATGGAGTGGCTGGTGGGTTTGAACCGCCAACTTTCTGATTAGCAGTCAAATGCTTTAGGCACTACACCACCAGAGCTCCTTTATTATCTCATCAGTAAAATGAAAAGTTTCTCTCTCTCTCACAATACATGCACGCAAAAATTTTAATCAGTAGGGTAAGTAAAGGATAGGAAACTTGCAGAATGGGAGAGAATTTCTATATTCAGGTCAACTTATCAATAATTGAATGTAAAACTTTTTAATGAACAATCTCTGTCTCCCAGAAACTATGTCAGATGCTTAGAACACAGAGATCACCATGCGGCCTGTCCTTAACGAATTGACAATGCAGCTGGGTAGACAACTAAGACACAATGAACTACAAGTACCAAATACGATGAGTTTGGTCCTACGACAGAGGAAAGCACAAGAGTAATGGGAGCACTCATGAGGAAACACCACCACCGCTAGTGCACCAGCTCACACCGCCACTAGTGCACCAGCTCACACGCTAGTGCACCAGCTCACAACCGCAGAAATCTAGGATGTATAGGAAAAAGCCAAGAGAATTTCATAGAAAAGGTTCAAATGCAATAAGCAAAATCCAACAAGTTGAATTTTAAGTTTAACATAAGTTTTGAAAATATTCTCAGTAATTATTATTAGCAACTAGAGGTAATTACAACTCAAAGACAGTCTGCCAGTCTTAGGAGAATCTTTTAAATAACAGAAGCACAAAAAATCTGAGATTCTCTTATTTGAACTGACTATAAAATGGTATTTTTGCATGATTTTAAGGCTAACAGAAATCCATCTTTTCTTCTAAAACTGTATTTCAATTTTATTTATCGATTTTGACATTTGCTTTGGTAGAAAACATAGCTAGTTACGATTTACTACTCATAAAACATTTAAAGAAAAAAATAGCAACAAAAACTTTCCCACAGGCAAAACGCAGAGTCGTGTTCTAAGTACACAAAGATTAAATATTAACAATTTAACCAAGGTCACTAGCGCCTTTTTGGTTTGTTCTTCCCTGAGAGTGGATCATTTGTTTAAAAAGAAAGAAAGGGTGGGTGTATAGGAGAAGTGGGGAGGAGCCAGTTTCCCACAGACTTCCTCCTGAGGAACTTACAGTGCTGATCACAATCAACTCTGGCGAACACTACTTGATTCTCATGTGGGTACTCTTCCTTAATGACATTGGAAGCTTCCTCGAAAATTGGATGCAACATCTGGCTGAAACGACACCTACACACAGAGAAGGATAGCAATTAGAAGTGAAAGCAGAAATAAGGAAATTCCAGTTATCATCCATTTATATCTCATATATGTACCACCAACAACTTTGTAGGACAACTGCATATTTAATTTAATCAAGATGCCGTTCACTGGAGAGGAAGACAATTTGGAACATCCCACATCAATTCAAAGACTGTATAAATTGAAAGATTTCAGTCGCATTAAACAAATTGCCAATACTATGGAGCATCTGGTTAAGGATCTATTACAGAGGCCATGAAACGAGTCTGAAATAAGCCCTCTATCTTAGATACCTACTAGGACCTTTGCTACTGAGTCAGCATGGAGAAAAGAAATCAGCTTTCTGTAAATAAAGCATGTATTCTTAAACAACTGCATAAAATCTTTAAAATGGTAAGTTCACTGCAGGTATAAAATATTAACCTGGCTAGTTCAATCAAACTCTCCTAGGCAAATTAGCAAGCTAAAGAAATAAGCTATATTCAAAGAATATAATGAACTCTTCCCTTCAAAATTTACCCTTTTTCAAAATGAGCATTTACATCTATTTATACTAAGTCCAGAAGCAAATTTTGTTAATTCCTAAACTAGACTTCCTGCCCATTATTTCCTTTTCTTGTTTACTTTAAAAAGAAGTGGATAAACGCCATAATATTCTCAACACTTGACACTTCTAATTCTGACTCTCCCTTAATCAGGCCAAGCACTTCACAAACAAGCTGCTAGTCATAAACAGGACCTGGTAAGAAGGGAACAGTCCCAGTCAGCACACTGTCAGCCGGATTAGAACATTTTATTACATGCAAAGGTCCTGAAAATCTGTGAACCACCGGAAACTTTAATTGCTACTATTGCTTTCAGTCCTTTTCCACCGAGAAATTTACTTAAATGTAGCCTTTGAACTCTTCAGTCCACACGCTATTAGGTCATACGTTTTTAGCTCTACTTCAATAAAGATAGCATCATGCCTATGGAAGAACTCAAGCTTTATACTTCCTCCCTGTTTCCTCTTACGTATACCTCCTCTAGCCCACTCACCTGCCTTCCTAGGGAGATGTCCTAGAATATATCAAGGAGACACAATCTGCATCTTCACTCTCTTGCTTTCAAGTGGCTCTTTCCTCTTTTAGCATTCTTAAATCTCTCCCAGCTGGGATAGGTGGGTGGGGTCTGTGGACATCAGGGACCATGTCTCATTTGACTCCCTATTCTAATAAGCATTCAGTAGATATCTATTAAATAAATAAGCTGACAGGATGGAGGAACTCCTGAGGCTAGGCCCACAGGTTTGTGGGTTCTTACAGTTACCAAGAAGCAGGGTGCTAGAGGGGGTAGGCAAGAGGCGAGGGGACTGATTAACAGTTGCTTGAAGAACTAAGAAGTGGCACAGTAAACAATCAGTGGACTTGCTTCTGGCTCAAGGGCAAAATAAAGACTCACATCAAGGACTCCTTCCTAGATTGTCTAGTTTGCTGCCCAGTAAGCATTTAAGCACAGGTTCAAGTTTAAAAAAGGATCAGTTTTAATACCAAAAGGTAAAAAGAGAAGATGAAATAAAAGTTCGATCCCAATATGACTGTACCCTAACAATCATGTATCCAAACATATGGAAAGATTACCTTTACAAAACTAAAATCACAGAAGCAATGGATCTATTAAAAGGCCCTTAAGGATCACATGAGGCCCATCTCCAAACTAGTGCTTGAATCAACCCTTTATAAATCAACTAAACAGGTGCAAGTCTTTGCAGGGACCTTTAGGGGCACTTACTAGCAGGACCCAGTGGAGGAAAAAAATAAGCTTTGAAGTCAAACATACCAAAAAATTCACTGCCATTCAGTCAATGCCAACTCATAGCAACCCTGTGGAACAGAAGAGCACTGCCCTTGAGGGCTTCCAAGGCTGTAATCTTTACAGGAACAGACTGCCACATCTTTCCTCTGGTTAGCAGCCAAGCTCTTAACGACTGCACCACCAAGGCTCCTTGGAGTCAAACATACCTGAGTTTAAATCTCAGTTCTACCACTTACCAGGTCTATGACCCTTCTTAGACTCAATTTCCTTAACCTAAAAGGAAAATTATAATACCTACCTGCAGGGCAGTTCAGAGCACTGAAAACAAGGTTTGTAAAGAACCTGGCCCATCATAGCATCATTAAGGATCTCCACTATGGTTTATTATACTCTGAAGCATATCACTATTTTTAGGCAGCTCTACTGGAGAATTCTTTCTTAAACTATGCCATATCAGTACTTCCAGAGGGAATTCAGGACCTATCCTCTGGGGCTACAACAACTGTAAGACTATGTCTTGCAGCCAATAACCTAAGTGTTTACAGCTGAACAAAAGAGCACTCATCTACAAACAACTCAAGGTACTCTTTGGGTAATATGATTTCCCAAATAACTGAAATTAATTTCTCTTTCTTACAACATACAAAACTCCTCAGCCAAGAGAACTGCAATTCTAGTTTCTACTGTCATAATCTTGTCAGATAAGCTTGAAAAACTATTCCCCTGGATCTGTTTTCTTATTTTTACAGTGAATGACTGGACTAGACAATCTTCCACCAAATTGCATGGCTCATGTTCTCGCTGGACAATTTACCTTGGAAATGCCACCTTTCTTACACACTGCACACGTATAAACGGTATTTTCTCTGTACAGCGTCAGCTTTTCACTGAATTCTTTAAACATCCAGATGATACATACATTCATTCCTTCAGTAAATATTTACTGTGTACTTATTTGCCATGTATTATGCAAAGGTCTTGGGTTTTGATTTTGAAAAAGATTGATTGGGTCATTGTTTTCACAAAGCTAACAATGTAGTAGGGGGCCAGCAACTAAACTATAGCATACAAATGCTGTAACAGGTAACTGTGGTGTTAGGGGAAGGCGGAAGAGTTCCAACTTGACTGGAGAAGGAAGTGGGACAGTGATCTAGGAAGGCAACCTGCAGAAAGTGGCGACTAATCTAAAACTCAGAAGATGATTAGGACTTAGGTAAAGCCATGGGTGAGAGAACAGTGATCCATCCAGCGAGCAGAAATATGACTGAAGATGTAGTGATGAAGAAGTACAGAGCATTACATAAGGTGAAAGCAGCGTGACTGGAGCGCAATGTGGGAGTGGAGACAGCAAGAGATAAAGAGACCCAGCTGTAGGGTTAATCAGGCAGCAGGCCCAGGTGAGGGACTTCAGTTTTAACCCAGAGGCAACGGAAAACTACTTAGGGGTTTAGAGATGGGGTGCAGACTCATCTGATTTGCATTTAGGAAAGACCACTCTGACTTACATTGTGAAAAACAGACTGGAGACATATTAAATCAAAACTAAACTAAACGCACTGCCGTCGAGTCAGACCCAACTCATAGCGACCCCTCCTTGGGTTTCTGAGGCGGTATCACTACGGAAGTAGATTGCCCAACCTGCCTTCCAAGGAGTGGCTGGTGGGTTTGAACCACTGGCCTTCTGGTTAGGCACTACGCCACCAGAGCTCCCGGAGACATATCAGAGGCACAGAAATGTTGCAGCAATCTAGGGACACTGTAGGACTGTGGCCTGAAGCAGTGAGCAGGTGGTAAACCTAACAGGGTCAAAGGGGGTACAGACTGTTCAGGAATAAAGATTACGGTGCCTGACACTTCCCTCCAGCTGCCGCTCCCTTCCTCCTCTTCCTGTGCCACATCCACTAACATCTACATATCAAGTCTGCTTCAGGTGCTGGGAACACTGAGTAACAGATTACCTCTGTCCTCAAAGTTTCACTGCTAGGACACCAACAACTAAGATAAAAAACAAACCAATGTGGTAAGACAGAGAAAGGAACACTACATGAACACACAAGACAGAATCTGCTTCGGCCGAGGGATGGCGTCGGGAGGGCGTTGGGATGGCGTTGCGGCTTCCGAAAAGAGGTAGCCGATGGTTTGCGCCGGAAAACGTCCACAGCATTCCCCTTCTAAACTTGCCACACTCACAGCCTCACCTCCAAACCCTGCTTCCTTAGGCAAGAAAAATACAGAACTGCAGCATGTAGTTTTAAAAGACTTGCTCTCACATTTGAGTTTTTATGTTACCTGCTTTTAGTTTAGATGGGAGAATGCAATCAGTTCCATTTCTCTCTTAAAACACAAAACCTCATCAGATTAAGTTCCTTTGTTGTGCACAAGCCTTAACTGATTCTGCCTCTGGAATCTAGTCTGTGGAATATTGGTTTGAAACAGAAAAAGTCTTCCTTACCTACCCCTTCATAGCAAGGAAAAAGTCACCTGTAACAAGTTTTAAAAATAGCATAAATGATGCAGAAACAAAAGCACAAAGATTATTACTTACCAGTCAGCATAAAAATTTACTAAAGCAACATCAGCATTGTCTGAAATTGAAAAACAAAACCAAACAACCAAAGTTATTTGTGATTATACATAATTGTGACATAATTGAAGATAAAGTTTTCATCGTGGTCTTTTCCCATTATAAGGGCCCCACTAAGATTACAGAGTAATTTAAGCACCCTCTCACTCAGAAATTCATCTATAGAGTCATGGGCTGCATTACCACACCCTCCATTTTTCACCTTCACTGCACATGAAAAGACTATCAAGCAAATGAGAAATCAAACTCTGATCAGACAAGGAAGTTACTCAATAGCTTACTCTCCATAAAAAGTGTAATGGCAGAGAATATACAAAGTTTAAAATCAATTCTGGAATAATCTGGATTTTAATGACCTATTTTTTGATATTCTATTTCCATGAGTAACTGATTAACTCTGCAAGTAACATCCTATTTTACATTAGAGGCCTGTATGACCAAGTGATTTCAACATCTCTCATGTCCCACTTCACTGCAACAAGTAACCTACAACTATCAGTACTGCAGAGGGGCACTTATTCTGGTTCCTGTTCATTTTCTTCTCTGCTGCAAAAATAACCATCATTTGCACATGAGGATGTGAGAAAGGTATGAGAAAGATGTCACTGTAGGACATCTGCCTAAAGCTAATTCAGAGAAACTGAGGTAAACTCCTGAAATACCAAAATAAAACAGGAAGTTATTCTACATGGCGGAAGATAAAAGGAGTGAGAATGATACGTGAGTTTCAATTCTCATCTTTCTTTTTTACCTTCAAAGCACTTTCTATTCACCTGTTCATTCATTCTCAAGCAGTGGTTCAAAGAGTGTTAGAAGCATCAGCATCACCTAGGAACTTACAGAATGCAAACTTGGGGGGCAAGGCCTAGCAGGATTTAATAAACTCTACAGGCGATTCTGATGCATGCAGAAGTGCACAGAACCTCTACTCTGATGAGATCCTATAAGGTAAGAATAGACCTTTTATCATTAATACCAATTCCAGGAACACAAACAACCTATGATGCTCAATGAATGTAATAACTCCTTTCACCGCTATTACTTTTGGTTTTATTATGCTCAAAACAGTGGGTAAAATGGAGTGCTTAAAAAAAAAGTATGTATACTATATGTTTTTTAAAGCTCCTAAGTTGTCATATTCTATCAACCATGTCTTCACCTTACTCTACTATTTTTAAAAACAAGAAAATTCCCCCTTCAAGTTAATTACATTTACAACCACATTTTCAGCAAATAAAGCATTCCTTCAAATACTTATTGAACATATGGCCAGATGATAATAATGAGATTAGAGTAGGTACTTAGTTAGAATAAAAAAAGACAAAAAATTTCTAGGCTGTGTCCCAAGGTCAGGAAAAATCAGTACTGCACAGCAGGAAGCTGCTGGCTTCAACCCCGGCTTTAGCAAAATAGTTCATGAATTATTAAGAGTGATATCGACAACAAGGCAAAGGCATAACACAAGACAAATTTATAAAAATGCTTATAAATTTACTTATTTACACAGTAAACTATGCATCTTAAGAAATTTTACTGAAGATGAAAACTGAAAGCACTCAGTCAGCTATGGAGTTCACCTGAATGCCATCTTTCCCACTATTCTAGGTAACTGAGATTTTACTGTGTTTGTGTAAACACAATACAGTGTATTTTTTAAAATGTACTTTAAAAGATATCTAGGTACTTACTTAAAATTTCATCTATATTCTCTGTATCAAGACTTGTTATTTCAGTTGTTACAGGAGTAAAAACCCAAGTTACCTGAAAATTTAAAAATATGTGAAATTAATAAATGTTTTCAGAAATGGAAAATAAAGCAGAATGTCTTAAAAAAGAAAATTATGAATAAAGTCAGTTCCACTCATACTTCAGGTGAGGCTTGCTATACTTCCAAATATATGAAAGAGATAATTTCTAAACAGCTAAAAGAACTGAAATGTTAGTCACCCTTTAAATACTTTCAACAACTTTATCCTTAAAGCTCCACACATCAGAAACTACCAGAAGATGATCAGTTTTGAAAACATTTCACATAAAACCAGAGCTAAGTGTACTGATTCCCTCCTACCTACCATGCTTCTAAGATAGAAAAAAGTAATAAATGGAACAAGTCAAGGCAGACTTTTGCAAACTATGAAACAAAAATCTTTTTTTTTTCCCCTTGCTGGTGATGACAATGTGTTAAATGATAGAGTATTAAAAACAGGAAGAAGAAGAAGGATATTTTTTGCTTCTATTTTAATGTGGCTGAAAGCCAAAATTCAAGTCTATCAAAGAAAATCTTAGCCTGCCATCTGACAACCCAAAGAAATATATAATTTTACTCTGGACCCAAAGAGACCACCAATAGCTGCATTAGATGGCTGCTGCAAGCTTTTAAGACCTCAGTCTAAACTGAGACCCCAAACTAGCATGTAGAGCAGTGTTTTTGTGTACTTTGTGATGTGCCCCTAGGCCCATGGTCCCAAGCCAGCAAGCCCAGCTACTTTTTGGTTGCAGCTAAGAAGTTCTCATTTGCCCCCATTAGCTCCACTACATATAGGGACATTTTTACAGCACGTACAAATACATATTTCTGCCAAATCGATCTATATATGATCATGGGTATATTCTCATTTGCCTACCCATACCTGATACTCACACCCGACCTGTCCACTGACGTATCCACCTGCAGAGTGTTTATTACTGATAATGCAGCACTGTCTCTGTACAAGTATTTACCTTCATGGTCTGTCCTTCTTGTGCACCTCTCCATGTCTCCCTTTTCCTTACTGTTACCGTGCAGGTCACCTGCTTTTGGTACACTACCTTTCCCCTCACCCAAATCAATATGTCTCTCACCTATCTAGCAATTTTCCCTCCCTGCCCCCAACCCTGGGAGCTCTGGTAGCATAGTGGCTAAGACACTTGACCGCTAACCAGAAGGCTGGCGGTTCAAACCCACCAGCCACTCCTCGGAAGCAAGGTTGGGCAATCCTACTTCCGTAGTGATACTGCCTCGGAAACCCAAGGAGGGGTCGCTATGAGTCGGGGCCGACTCGACGGCACATAACAACAACAACAACAACAGCCCCCAACCCTGGTAACCAAAACAGTTAAGTTTTCTTCCATGTGTAAACTTTCCTTGACTTTTCATAATAGTGAACTCATACAATATTTGTCCTTCTGTGATTGACTTATTTCACTGAGCATAATGTTCTCCAAGTTCATCCATGTTATGAGGTGTTTCGTGGATTCTTCGTTGTTCTTTAATGTTGCACAGTATTCCATTGGGTGTATGTAAAGTGAAGAAAATCAAAGACGCATATAAACAATTAGTCCAAGGGACTAGTGCACCATGGGAACCTCGGCCTCTATGACCCTGAGACCAGAACTAGAGTCAGGTATCGCTGCCCACCGCTCAGAAAGGGGTCAAAATCGGAGATCCCCAATACAGTGGGAAAATGGTGGAAGAGAACTCAAAATCATAAAAGACCAGGATTACTGGTCTTATAGACACTGGTGAACACCCTAAGACTATGGTCCCTAGTCACCCTTTGGGCTGGAAATTGAACTCACTCCTATGGCATAACTTTCAGTCCCAAAACAGACAGGACTACCAGATCTTACACCAGGGAAGTACAGAACAATCAATCATGGGAGGTCAGAAGGGCGGTATTTGCACAGGGAGACAGCTCCAAAGAGAGGAATGTATAGGAAAGAACAACAACTCCAGGGAGGAAGCAGGAAGAGAGCTATTAGACTGTGGGGATTGCAATCGATGTCAGGAAACAAAGTGTGTGTGAACTATTGAATGGAAAACAAATTTGCTCTGCAAACTTACACCCAAATCACAACAAAAAGTTTTGGGTTTTTTCTAAAATATTTAAAAAATTTTTAATTTAATTTTTAAAAAAGATACAATTTTAAAGTAAATTAGCCATTTATTTTAAAAGTATACTTTTACAGTGTATTTTATTTTCAGGTTGCGTCTTTAATACATTTTGTGTTTGCTGCCTGGAGAATTTTGTGTTCAAATCAGAGTTCCTGTATGAAAATTCATTCATCGATTCGATGCAGTTTATTTAGGATCAACCAATGCCAGCATCTGATCAAGGTACTAAAGACTATTCCTCAACCTATTCATTCATAAACACTTTAGGACTCACAACAGTTAAAACTCACAAGTTTTATAATTCACCAACAATTCAATTTCTAGATAGTACTAAGAGACATGTTGATGCTGCTGGCACATTAATACCAAACCCAAACCCAAACTCAACATAACAATCCTTTTAGAACAGAGTAGAACTGCCCCATTGGTTCCAAGGGTGTAAATCTTTATGGAAGCAGATTGCCTCATCTTTCTCCTTTGGAGTAGCTGGTGGGTTTGAACTGCTGACCTTTTGGTTAGCAGTCGAACGCTGTAACCACTGCCCCGGCACATAAAAAAGCCTATATGGTTATTTAAATTATTTTAATAAATTTACACTTTTCTTAGAAAAAGTCAAAAATGACATTAAGTCTTATTTCAAGTTACCATAATGTGTAGCCAATAGCTGACTACCATTTCTGCCAGCAATCAATAAAATTACACTCTCCTACGAGGAAGCTAGGAGTTCCTGGGTGATGCAGACGATTAACATCTCAGCTGCTAACCAGAACGTTGCAGGTTCTAGTACACCCAGAAGTAACAAGAAAAGCCTGGGGATCTAGACCCAAAACTCAGCCACTGAAAACTGTCCGAGCACAGTTCTGCTGGGCAACAGATGGGGTCACGAGGAATCAGAACTGCCTCAACAGCAGCCTGCACTGGGAAAAGCCAGCTCCCGGCCCGACACCAGACCCGCTGCCCAGGCGAGGCCGGCTCCCAGCGACACCCAGCTAGCAGCCAGCTCCCAGCGTAATACCAGACGCTGCCGCCCAGGTGAGGCCGGCTCCCAGCGACACCCAGCTAACAGCCAACTCCCAGCCAGGACGCTGCTGTCCAGGCGAGGCCGGCTCCCAGCAACACCCAGCTAACAGCCAGCTCCCAGCCCAATACCGGACGCTGCTGTCCAGGCGAGGCCGACTCCCAGCGACACCCAGCTAGCAGCCAACTCCCAGCGTAATACCGGACGCTGCCGTCCAGGCGAGGCCGGCTCCCAGCGACACCCA